AGAGTCCTAATTTATGGTGGAGCCTTGGATGAAGATAATAAAGCAGCAGTCGAAGGATATGTCGATTCTGATTATGCAGATTGTATGGATTCTAGAAAGTCTATTTTTGGATATGTGTTCATATGTTTGGGACAACAATTAGTTGGAAAGCAACACTTCAGAAGGTTGTTGCCTTATCAACCACTGAAGTAGAATATATTTCCCTAACTGAAGCTATGAAGGAAGCATTGTGGCTTAAAGGTTTTGCAAAGAAGCTAAATCTTCAAGGTCGAGTTATCATTGTTAAATGTGATAGTCAAAGGGCAATACACCTGTCGAAGAATTCAGTCTATCATGAACGAACCAAGCACATTGATGTGAGGCTGCATTTTGTCAGAGGGGTAATCGAGCATGGAGAAGTCCAAGTGCTAAAGGTTTTGACAGATCATAATGATGATATGATCACCAAGACGTTACCCAGTTGCAAGTTTTTCCATTGTATGCAGTTGATAAAGCTGCATGAAGAAAGCTAGTTCCTTGATGTTATAGAGTTTGTTCCAAGGTGGATATTTATGAGATATTGGATCGAACTCTAGTATGGTTGAAGGGTAGCTTCTGGTTCGACAGGAATTAAGCATGAGGTCGAAGTATGTTCGCATGCTGCTGTCGGAGTAATGCGTGTTGTAGTCAAAGTCTGTTCTAATATGCATTAGTCAATATTGCTAGGGTTTTTAGCATGTTGAATTGGGCCTTGCTTGTAAGCCCAATTGTTTAAGTTAGCTTGCACCCTAAGTTAGCTTGTAATAGGTAATTGTTAAAAAGCCCATTATGTTAGTGTGTTATTTTTCTTATAAATAGGATGCTAGTTTCTCAATCTTGGTATAAGGAAAAATAGGAAGATAAAATCTTAATTTCAAGAGAGAGAGGTTATTTTATTATTCTTGTATACTTGTAATCTTGTTCTAAGAGTAAGGAAAGAATAACATTTTATAACCAATCCTTGTTGTTCCTTGTTGTTTTACATTGGTTTCTTTGTTAACCCTAACCCTTGTGTATTTCTTGATCAAGAAGAAATCGTTTATACTTTGTTTCAAGGTATCCGATTCACAACAGTATCTATAAATCATTAGCATAAAATTATCAAGATAAATAAGACTAGTACTAACCAGAAATTTCTCAAAACGACGACCTTTCGTAAACTTTTTCTAAACCTTCGAGAGAGATAACTATATCTCACCCATGGACGCTCAAGACCAATCTTAGACTCTCTAATATAGTTATGTCTAAGCTGTGACTTAAAGCTCATCCAACACGTACCAGCATGACTTATCCTCCTATTTTTTAAGTTCTTATTATCATTCGTAAACTCAAAAGTCAATTACATTTAAATCAACAAGAATGTATTAGAAATTATAGAAAGTCATATCAAATAGATGAAAATTAAAATTAATACCTTAACGTCTGTCCATATGCTATTTTTGACAGCCTCTGGTGCTTGTTTCCAATCATCTACCAATTTAATAGAACACAACATAACTCTTAAAAAGTAAAGAGTATTCACCATCAACTACTCTGTAATACAAATCAAACGCGATAGACAATTTGTTACCAGATTTGTGGACTTTTGTTACTTTGGTAAGCATTGTAGCACCTCTTTGTGATCTTTTATTTTTGTTTTGAGTACCACTTGTCATAGTTTCTTTGCCACTAGATGAAGAATACGACAAAGACGACATTTATGTTCAAAAATAACAACAACAACAACAACAACAAACTCTTTCATCTATTATCACATACACATCCAACAACAACAACAACCACAACAAAAGATTAATCAAGTTTTATCACACACGTTCAACAACAACTAGAAAAATAACAAGAACAACAACATCAACAACAATGGAAACTGAAGTTTACTGTAGATGCATGAGAAAAATGTTTTACGTACCATAAACGTGATGACTAAGTAAAGGTGAATATTTGGATTGAAACATATAGTGTTGTTGTATTCCTCCTTGACGATGACGATGGTGTTAGTGTTGGTGTTAGTCTGTTGTCTTTCTCTTCGCGATGACTACGGGTTAAAAATGAACAAATGTAAAACAATGAACCGATGAAAAACGATGAACTGATGAACAACTAATGAAAAATCCATGAACGATGAATGTTAGGGTTGATATGGTGTTTCATTTCTCAGCACTGGACATTAGGGTTGAAACGGTGTTTCGTATTGTATTGTTTTTCGGCAAAGAATGGCTACTGAAGAGACAAGCTAGTTAGTTGTGATAAAAATAAATGAAAGATACCACCACGGTCAACAACTGCAACCGTGGTGATATATTATTTGCTTAATTAAATTTCTTAAAGAAGCGCGAGTATATTACAACTTAAAAGATTTAAAACTAAATGAAAATATGTCACAACGGTTCAGCTACGCAACCGTGATGGTATCACATTTATTTTAAAATTAAAAATAAATAAAAATACAAAGGTACGACTAAATGTTAAAGAAATAAAATATTTGAGGGTGCTGAGATTTGAACCCATGAAAGAGTGATTATATAACCACGGTCGTATAAATAAACCATGATTATATCATATCAAAATTTTAATAAATAAATAAAAGAAAATGTTTGCGCGTTAAGTAAGATGTTGTTAGAACACAGATTGGTTCTTAATAATAACTCTTTGTTTTGATGATAACTGTTAGGAAATTTTTATATTTAAGAATTATATACTCTAAAATTTGTTTGAGAGTTTTACTGTAGATTGAAATGAAATTAACTCTCTAGAAGCAAATCTGTATTGTATACAAGAAGTTATCCTGACTCTGAAGCGCCAGATGCATCTTACAGAAGATTCTGATTGCTCTTTACAGAAGATCCTGAGCGTAGTCTCCAGAAGGATCTGAAGCAAGAAGCTCCAGAACATTCTGAGTCAGAAGCATCTGAAGCTAGTCAGAAGCATCTGAAGCTGAAGCATCTGAAGCAAAGAAGAATATTGATTGAAGAGTTTCTCAAAGCATAATTCTACAGAAGTTTCTGAAAGTACTAACGCTGCCAAGTACTGAAGTTCTATGTCAAATATGATCTGATGATCAACACGCTGAAAGCACACATGCTGCAGAAGACTCTGATACAGCAAAGTTCTGAATATCATTAGAAGACTCTGATCCATTCAGACTCTGAAGAACTTGCTGAAAACTGAAGAAGAAATATTCAAGAATATATCCGTTGGAGTAAATCAACGTCTCTTTCCTCATTTGTGCTAGACACAATTACACAGACAAAAAGGATTTTTCTGTGTTATCTACTTCAAGGAAAGGTCACTTGATGTGAAGACAAAAAGACTCAGACCTTTTTGGGACTCTCTTTTCAACGCTCAGCATCCTTGGATCAGCTGCCTATAAAAGGAGAACTCCACCACATTCTTCAGTTACACATTTTTGCTGAAAAGAAATCATATTATTCTAAGCTCTCATTCTTTCATATTCTTCTTAGAATTTCTTGTACTTAAATTTAAGAGAAAAATCACTGTTGTGATAAAAGCTTTATAGAAGCATTAATACTCTTGTATTTGATTTACATTGATTGTAAAGGTTTTTCCTTAAGAGGATTCAGTTTGAATCAGTAGCTCTTGAGAAGACTAAGAACAATTGTTCTTAGGTGTTACTATTGTAATCAGTTTGATTTAATAGTGGATTAAGTCCTTGTTGAGAAAGGCAAATCACTCTAGGAAGGGTGGACTGGAGTAGTTGGTTAAACGAACCAGGATAAAAATAATTGTGTGATTATTTTTTAAGTCTTAATCTTTCATACTTATTCAACCCCCCTTCTAAGTATTATCTCACCTTCAGATGTCATCACGGTCCTTCGTAGCACCATGATAACTATGGCTTTGTTGTATATACATTTTATAGTAGTGGACATTAACATTTTTTTGTTTTTACATCAACGCATTTCAACTTTTTACTTGTTTCTTTATACTCATCAGATCTTTCTCGACTCAACACTATAAGATTTTTTCTTCTATCAGAACCAGAATTATACGTATCGATAACTACACCCAACACTAACTTATCAATGACCATGCTTTTGTCCAAATCATTAATCTCGAAATCTTTTTTAATAAATTCTCTGATAGTCTTTCTAGGTCTTCTCCTTCCTCTAATTGTTTGTCATCTCTCTCTAATATTTTCATTTCTAATTGTTTACCACACATTCACCGCAGCATCCTCATCTATGCTACACTTATTTTATCTGCGTGTTGATTTTTAACTGCCCAAAATTTTGTTCCGTACAAAATCGTATGTCTTATCGCAGTTCAATAAAATTTTTCCTTCGATTTGAGCAGTATTTTTCTATCACATAAAATACTTGATGTTCTTTTTCATTTTAACCACCTAACTTAAATTCAATGATTTACCTCTCCTTCTATTTCTTCATATTTTGTATTAAAAAAAGATTCTTTTAGAAGTGATTTGTAGGATTCTTGAATGATTTTTCAGAAATTTTCCACAATGCTATTAGAGGAAGTATGAGAAGTCATTCAACAATGCAAAGAGACCTAAAGTTTTGATACCAGACGATAATGAAGTTGATAACTCAAGCAAAATGAAACTTTTCATTAAAAAAACAAAAAACAAAACAAATTCAACAAATGTATAACTGAGACAGTTTATAATAAAAACACAATACAAAGCACATATCCACAATAATGTCATTTATTTATATTTTGATACAATCAACTTAATTAATTTATACAACATTTTTTTGGCGGCTGATAACACTATAATATGTTGTCAACCATGAAAAATGTGTTTTAACAAGACATATACCTCAGCTGATGCAAGTTTTTGTCTTCTTAAAACACAAGATATTATTAATTATTTGTCCAAGACAAGCACTACAACAAAACCAACAAACACATAAAGCTATCATATCATATAATCATAAAACAAAATTTTCAAATATGCTTTAGAGAAAAACCCTTATTCTTGTTACACAAAACTCCATAATAACATGTTTACTAGTAATACAAACCATTTTCTAATACTAATTATGGTTCTTTCATTACTCTTAAACATTCAAAGCCAAGAAACCAGACAAAACCAGAACATGCCAGAGATACCACAAGGTGTAACTCCAAGTAAAGGTGTTGTAATAATTGTTCTTTCCGTTATGTTTTTCATCACTTTTATCTTACTAGTTTATGTCAAATTCTGTCGTGTTACTCCTCTTCATCTTATACACCAGAACCCGCTTAATCAAGGAACAACTCGATCGCGGTCTATAGTTTTCGGTGTTGAAAAGAAAGTGATTGAAACACTTCCTTTCTTTAAATTTTCTTCTTTGAAAGGATCCAAACAAGGACTAGAATGTACTGTTTGTTTGTCGAAATTTGAAGACGAAGAGACGCTTAGATTGTTGCCGAAATGCAAGCATGCTTTTCATATGAGTTGTATTGATAAGTGGCTTGAAAGTCACTCTACTTGTCCTCTTTGTAGGTACATGGTTGAAGAAAATGACATAAGAAACTTCACTTTTTCGTTCAGTTCAAGATTCTTAAGAGTTCCTTCGAATCTAAGTGAAGATCCAAATCTTGAGATTTTTATTCAGAGAGAACGTTCTCAAAGAAAGAGTAAAAGAGAAGAACAAGAACTGGTTCTTGATCATGAAGAAAGTGGTAGCAGTCATGTTACAAAGTGTAATCATCATCATCAACAACAACAACAACAACAACAACAACAGACTTTGCATATGATTAATCATAGAATATTGATCTCTGATGTTGTTACAAGGAGTAGATGGAGTGATCTCAACTCTTCTGATTTGTTATCATTGAAAAGTGAGATGCTTCACGATGTGTCAAGTGCAAGATTTTCTCCTGATGAGGATGAAAATTCTTTTACAGCATTGAATCCTGGTGAGAAGAGGAGTATGTCTGAGATTTCAAATGTTCCGAGGTTTGTGGAAATTAACAACAGAAGAAGGAATGGAAATGATGAGAGATTGTGGAGGATTTGGTTGCCGATTGCAAGGAGAACAGTTCAATGGTTTGCAAGACAAGAAACAAACTCGGTTCAGTTATTGCAACATAAACATTTAGCTTCAAATGTTTGAGGAACAACAGTAATTAGTACTGTAATTAGTATATGTTGATTGTTGGTTTGAGTGGATTAACAAAAGTTACTATTGCTATCTTATAATATAGTATGCAAAAGTGTGGTTTAGGAGTCTTTATTGGTAAAGAGAGATAATATCAATCCCTTTCTTCTTGATTAAGAATGCTTTTTGTGGAATCATTATCTCATTATGGTAATAATGCCACTCTTTGCAACGACAAAAAAATAATGCATTTAGTTGCAATAATTAAATCACACTATATTGCATCACACTATAAACCATCCGATCTCAAATCAATTGTTGATTTTAGAATTTAGGTTGAGATTAACTCATTCCTATAAAATTGGTGTAACACTCCGAAATAATACATATATAGAATAACATTAGTCAAAGTATTAATTTGGTACTGAAAGCACACATAGGTATCTAAATGTTGGGAAAGAAAACAAATATAGAAGATAGTAATAAAATGCGGAAGCTGCTGGATCAACTTTTTTCCTACGTACAGTTAAAAATAAGCTCCAAACAAAATTGCTCAGACAACAATAATAAGCACAAAATAGAGCAAATAAAATAAGGAGACACCAGAATTATTAACGTGGGAAAAAACCCTTAAAGGGAAAACAACCCACGGGACCAAGCCAGTAAATCTTCCACTAATAAATTAATGGGTACACCACAAGTCCTCCTGGAACCACCAGGGATCAACAGAGCAAATATAATCTTCACCGTACAAGGTGGATATCAAATCAACTAACCCCTCAACGGGTTCTACGACACAACAATAAAGAGACACTCTTTGATATTCTTCTCTCTGTCTGTAGAGTCGCTCACGTTGCCGCTCTCTTCCCTCTTCCTCCTGTTATATCTAACACACAAGGGTTAAAACCCTTTAACCATTTCATGGGCTTTGCCCCACAAAGCTAATTTCCTTTTTTTTCTTCTCTTTTAATAATAATAATAATAAGATTAAGTGGACTCACTTATTTTGGTGACCCACACAACAATTCTCCCCCTCACCAAATTAAAGGGAGACCATAGGAGACCAAACCTGCTTTCTTTCTGCAAGTAGAGAACTTCTCCATAGTTAAGGCCTTTGTCATCATATCTGAACCATTCTCGTCAGTATGGATTTTCTCTAATGAAAATTTCTTCATCTCCAGCGCATCGCGTATCCAATGATACCGAACATCAATATGCTTCGACTTTGAGTGATAAGTCGAGTTCTTGCTAAGATGGATTGCACTCTGACTGTCACAATATAAAATATATTTCTCCTGTGAGAGACCCAAATCTTGTAGGAATTTCTACATCCAAAAGAGTTCCTTTGCAGCTTCTGTGGCGGCAATATACTCTGCCTCTGTAGTAGACAAAGCAACACATTTTTGCAATCTAGACTGCCATGACACTGCTCCCCCTGCAAAAGTCATCATATAACCAGAAGTAGACTTCCTAGAATCCACATCACCAGCCATGTCTGCATCTGCAAAACCATCTAACATAGGCTTACCACCTCCAAAGCACAAACAGACTCCAGAAGTAACTTTGAGATACCTGAGTATCCATTTCACAGCTTGCCAATGTTCTTTGCCAGGATTAGAGAGGAAACGACTGACCACGCCAACTGCATGAGCAATATCTAGACGTGTACACACCATCGCATACATCAAGCTACCAACTGCAGATGCATACGGAATATTCTCCATTTCCTCTTTGTCTTTCTCACTTGTAGGACATTGCATAGAGCTCAATTTGAAGTGACCTGCAAGTGGAGTGCCAACTGATTTTGAATTTGACATATTAAACCTCTCCAATACCTTCTCAATGTACTTTTGCTGTGATAACCACAATTTGCAATTCTTCCTGTCACGTGTAATTCTCATGCCAAGGATTTGCTTTGCAGGGCCTAAATCCTTCATTGCAAAGGGCTTGCTCATCTCTCTTTTCAAATGCTCAATCTCTTTCATGTCATGACCAACAATCAACATGTCATCGACATAGAGAAAAAGGATAATAAGTTTCTCACTAGGGAATTTCTTCACAAACACACAATGATCAGAAGAAGTTTTTGCATACCCATGATCCACCATGAAAGAATCAAATTTCTTATACCATTGCCTTGGAGCTTGTTTAAGACCATACAAGCTCTTCTTCAATCTGCAGACAAGCTTCTCTTTACCTTTGACTGCAAAATCATCAGGCTGCTCCATGTAAATTTCTTCCTCCAAATCACCATAGAGAAATGTGGTCTTCACATCAAGTTGCTCAACCTCTAAATTCAAACTAGCTGCCAAACCAAGTACAAATCGGATTGAAGACATCATGACCACAGGTGAAAAAATTTCTTCAAAATCTATACCTTTCTTCTGACTGAATCCTTTCACAACCAACCTTGCCTTGTACCTTGGTTGTGAGCTATTTTCTTCTGACTTCAATTTAAACACCCACTTATTCTTGAGTGCTCTCTTACCATTAGGTAGCTTCACTAGCTCAAATGTGTGGTTCTCATGTAAGGATTTCATCTCTTCTTGCATGGCTTTGTACCACTTGTCTTTCTCTTCATGTGACATAGCTTCTTCAAAGCTTTGTGGCTCCCCCCCATCAGTAAGCATCACATATTCATGAGGAGGATATCTCTGTGAAGGATGGTGCTCTCTGGTAGATCTTCTCACTGGCTCAGGAGGTTGCTCTAGTGGAATTTGTTCAATTTCTTCATCAGCTTGGGGCTTGATGGGCTAAAGACGTGTCTACTTATGCGTCTAGCGGTATCTTACTGCAAGTGCACAGCCTATCGAAGTAATATTTAAGATTATCGATCCACAGGGATTCTATGGTTACTTAGTGCTAGATGAACTTCTAGTTTAGCTAAGGCGAATGGTTGTCACGATTTTTTGTTGGTTTTTAAGACTATTAAAGGCGGAATTAAATTTAAGTTTTAATAAAGTAATATTAAGGCGGTCGGTATGTAATTATACTAACTTAGGTGGGTCAATCTAACCTAGGCTTATAAAGGTGTTCACTTAATCTATTCGGTAGAGATTACCAGTTTAAATACCCTCAACTCACACTCTCGTGGTCTTATATCAGATCTTATCCCTAAAGCCCTATGCCTGCTCTCGCTAGCCCATAAGTGTTTAGAGGTAATTTTTGGAAACTAAGCAATTCTAATTTATCTTAAAGCGCTCTCGCTGTGTTTAATTTAAATGCCTAACTTTAGCTATCTGGTTAAAATCTCACACTCTCGTGGTCTTGACCTAACCTAATACTCTTTTCTTACTCTCGTAACGAAAAGGTCTATTTCAATTAAAAAGTATCAGCCAGAATGTTAAGTGATTAATTATTTTTAGCCTATGGTTATATTTTACCGGTTAAGTTTGTTATGACTACATACCGCCCTAAGGTGTTTAGCTACTCATCGATGTTGAACCAGACAGAGACAGAAAATTTAATAATAACGTACTCATGGCAGAAAAATAAATAAACATTATAATTAAATTAAATTGCAATATAATGAAAAACCTGGTTAACAAATATTCGAGCAGACTCCTTCTTGCACAGACCGGAAGGCTTGGAGTTGGCGGAAATTGAAAATAAACGAATGCTGAAGGTTTAGAAACAAATAAATGTATAACAATTTCCTGATGTTGGAAATTGTTATATGGCGGGTTTGGATACAATAAAAAACGAAACAGAAAACTAAAAATAATGCAGGAATAGAAAGGCTGGTTCGTAATACAGTTCGGCAGAGCTTCCGCAGGAATTTGAATAAAAAATGCTCTCCCTCTTTTGTTCATAGAACTTGTACTATTTATAGAATCCTTAATGGGCTGGATTTTTGGACCTTTGTTGCAGGGGCCTTGCTGAATTTGTGGAAGGAATGCAGGAACGTGGCAACAAAATAGGAGGAATGGTCTTCACGTAATGCCTTGACGTAGTCTGAGTCAAAAACCTAATTTTACCCTTGTCACGGTCGTGACAAGGTCTTCACGTTCGTAACTTGTGGTTTTTAAGTGTCACGGTCGTGACCACTCTCTTACGGTCGTGATGGCTCAAATTGGGGTGTCACGGTCGTGACACCCTTGTGACGGCCGTGACTGCAACAAATTATGCAGTCTTTTGCAGGCTTCTTCATTTCTTCATCTCTTTATGGTTTCTTTTGTTCCTTTTGCTCTTAATTCATGATTTAGCTCCATATAATGATGTACCTGCAAAATGGTAAGAAAAACTCGAGAAATCGAGTGTTAAAACGGTGAATATGCGATAAAACGTTAATGAAACCTAGCAATATAATCGATGCGTTTTCTCGTTATCAAACTTCCCCAAACTTAAACCTTTGCTTGTCCTCAAGCAAATAGTCGGTTGAAAATCGGCGGACAAGATTTTATTCACGCATACTCATAACAAACCGTACGAGGGATCGTTTTGTCGGATAATCCGGTACTTTAATAGAACACTACCGATACACTAATGACACAAGCAACAAGCTATGTCGTTGACTTCCCGTTAAACGAAACAATCGGCAATTACATTACGATTTCACCTGGAGTTTTTCGATCTTATTTCGCCCGGTTTCATTCTAGTGCAATCACATTAAGCCCTTTGCCTTAGCACGCACGTAGTGGAGTAGCCGGTTAGCGACTTTGATCCTTTTTGAGCACGGGGTATGGTACACGAGTGTGGTAACCCTACATATTTTATCCGATTTGGAGGTTGTGGGGGATCGAGCCGTAGCACGCCCTACCGAGTTCAGAACCAGTACCTCTGAACCAACTTGCAATGGACTCCTTCTCATATTTCTCGTTTCTTATATGCGACCGTGTACTTTGGTGCAATTTCTTTTCATTTTGCATCGACATATGAAGGATCATTATTGATTAGGCATCAAACGCTTATATTCATCGGCTCCCCACGTGGTTTGTGTTCAGACGGTGCTGACTGCTAGTATAAACTACTAGGGGTTACTTTTGAACTGAAACTAAAAGTGTACTCGTAATGGT